CGAAAGAAGGCCACATCAAGTTGCCTTTGAGATCCCCGACCCCGACATCTCAGACATCGGGTCTGATGCTGAAGCGAGGGGTTTGAGAGCCGGGAAGATGCATTCTTAGGATCCCGCATTGGGCTGCGATACAATGGAGCTGATGTTTCTCTTCCTGGACGCCACTGCCATCACCATGTTTCTCTTCCTGATAACCGCTCCCATAAATTCACCATGATGGTCAACCTTGCAGGGCCCTTTTTGAACGGGGCTCCTTAAAAGATCTCCATTTTGCAACCATTTGAAGCATGTTCATATTTCAACACCAAAATCAAGTTGGAAACCACCATTTGCAAGTTGCAATGTTCAGGTGTATAGTATATCCGGATCCCTGTTGAACCATCTTGCGCCCGCCCGCCGGCGCGGATGGGGCCGTATCGCCAGGTGGCTTGGCGGGACCTCCGCAGCCCGGAGCCGAGTTGCGCGAGTAGGCGCAAAGCGGTTTGGCTCGCGTTGGACGTGCCTTTTTCTTCCCCAGAATTAGTTCCCCTTTTTTTTTTGCTTTTTTGGGGTCCCCTTTGTTTTCCACTAACCAGGCAAAAATTGTATATTTTTGCTGGGGTCCCAATTCCAGCCAAGTTTTGACCGGGTTTGATGGCTTGACGCGCTTGGTGTGTCGCTTCATTTGATGTTTTAAGGTGTTTGGTTATGATTTGGTTGGTTGCTGGGGACCCGGGTTGTTCTGGCGAGTTGCATGCATTCACAAGAATTCCAGCAACCGGGCGTTTTGTTCGGAGAGCAGACAGCAGGTGTGTTTGTGTGTGTGCTTTAGCTGCTTGCCTGGCTGTTTGTGTCTTTGTTTGTCTCTTTGTCCGTTTGTCCCTTTGTCTTTTTGTTTTGTTGCTTGTGCGTGTGTGTGTGTGTGTGTGTGTGTGTGTGTGTGTGTGTGTGCCTGCACGTTTGTTTGCGTGTGTCTGTGCTTGTGTGTGTGGTTATCTTTGCATTTGTCTTTGTGCGTGTCTTTGCCTTTGTGTGTCTGTGTGTCTGTGTGTCTGTGTGTCTGTGTGTCTGTGTGTCTGTGTGTCTGTGTGTCTGTGTGTCTGTGTGTCTGTGTGTCTGTGTGTCTGTGCGTGAGTGTCTGTGCCTGTGTGCGTGCGCATTGTGTGTGTGTGTGTTCTCTCTCTCTCTCTCTGTCTCTTTGTTTTGCTTATGTGTGTGTGTGTGTGTGTGTGGTGCCTCTTCATTGTGTGGGCCAATGCGGGATTGCGTGCATGAAGTCTGAGTCTGACTTAGGTCTGCCTGCATCTTGGCGTACGGCCAAACAGGCCCCGGCCTCAGGGATAGAGGGGGGCCATAGAAGAGGGGAGCACCTGTTTTTGAAGGTAACTTTTTTTGATTGTAAACCGGGTCTCCTCCACATCTCCTCCTTTTGGACCACTTATGACACATAATCAGAACATATGTTTTTCTGTGTAACCCGGATGTTTGTGGTGCGATTGCTCATCCGCGAGCGTTTCAGCCTTGCAAGAAAGCCAAGGATCCGGAAAGACCCACACGATGCACGGAGGACGGGCAGCATACCCCCTCAAATGGGTTCTTCTGTTGTTTGGAAATTACTTTTAAGGGAAACCGAAACGGTTTCGGGGATTCCAAAGCCCAACTGTTTGACACACCCTAGTCAGCCAGCCCGAGTTTTGGCTGTGATAGCACGTTGGAGTGAGCAGGAGCTGCCCGAGCCCAAACTTTAGCCAAACCAGACTCATCATCCAACAGAACTTTCTAAGGACAATGGTTTTTGCCGGTGCGACCGGCTTGGACAGGGTATCCAGGGTTCCAGAAAGGAACACACACAATGATGGATCCAGTTAGCCAGCTCCCTAGCGCCAGACTGATTGACCGACTGCCCCACATGGGAAGAAGAGGTACACCCCCATGCCTTGACACGAAGAAGCTTTCAACAGCACAGGCTCATGCCATTAGTCCGAGTGGTGCCTCCCATGGACTGGACCTGCTTGGCCTATAGAAAGCTTCGAAGCACAAAGTCTACACATCTTCAGGAGTCCTCGCTTGGGCGGACCCCATCGCCACTTGACCCGGAATTAAGTTGCATTCTCCCCGCCATGGAATCGGAGGATCCCGCATCCCTGAGTTACCTCGCTAAGTTCAAAAAGTCATAAGGAAGCTAGGCCCAATTACCCCCAAATTGTAACTTGTGACCGTGGTACTCCCTGCGGAAGGTTGCTATATATAAGGGCCGGACCAACTAGAATGAGGACCTGGGGGGGGGCTCAAGCAAAAGATAATCAAATGTGTAGTTATTTTGTGTTTGTCTCGTTTCCTTTTGTTCCACTCTAAAACCGCCCCAACAAGGGTACCCTCAAAGCAAAACACACGTTTGGGGAAACACACGTTTGGGGCTGTCTTTTTTTGGGATTCCCTTTTGTTCGTGTTTTTTTTTTAGCAAACAGACAACCATTCTTCTGTGGGGGTTCCCGAAAAAAAGAGAGCCCCATTTAGCCCCTGACAGTCCCGAGGGTTGAACGCACCAGGACCCACGGACCAGCGGGGCCTGGTGCCCCGCGTGCTCTTCGAAGTCTTCCGTCTGGCTGGCGCCAGCCGAGCTCTCGATCTCCGGGGGAGGCGTCCTTGCCGTTTCGTTGGGAAACGCCCAGGTTTGCTCCTGCTCCTTGGTTTGGAGTTTGGGTTGGGTGGGAAGCCCCATTTGCCCTCAAGAACCAAATTTACCAAACCAAAGCTACCAACTAAGGGTATGCTTTCCGCCAGGGTTTGGACAAAAAGGAGCTGAGCGAACGAAGGTCCTGTTTTTCCATTTGTTGAATTGGAATTTGCCAACTTTCTGTACCACGCCACCTTTCTTAGTGGTTTTGCACGTCAGCTTTCGCCGGATGAAAGCCGAGCTTCTTTTGGGGATTTGAACCCCTGGTTCTTGTAGACGGTATATGGGAAACCCTAACCACTAAACCGCCAATCCAAACCACCAAGTAGAGGGAAGCTGACAGTGGCTTAGAAAGCACGAGGCGGGCTCCTTTTGGGGGGCGAAGCCCAGCGCACGAGCACGCCGAGGAAAGCCAGGCATGAAATTGTTGGGGAAGCAACGCGCTCAAAGCCTTTGGGCAGCTTCGGCGATCTCCAGCGTCCAAACAGCCACCCGTCCTTTGATTTGGGACAGCACTCAGTGGTGAAAACAATTTGGCCACATCTTTCATTTGCCCATTGTGCTTTGCCCTCCCGCTTGCGCATGAGGGAAAGAGTCGCCGGAGAACAGCACGTACTGCATGAGTGGCACTTGTGTGGAGGGAGTCGTAGCAGCACGTCCTTTCAAGACCCCTGGTCCTTGGAGGGATGGGACGTCGCCGGATCACCTTCCAAACCAATCCGGAGCCTTTTCAAGGGAAGAATGAGGCACTTCAGCCGAAAAGCCCATGTTTTTGTTCTTCTTCTGCAGGTGTCAACTTGAACAAATCACCCCTAGAGGAAAAAACATGGCCTTCCAGGGTTACCTCCTTGCCCCTAGGTTCCACGTTTTCTGTTGTTTTCTCTCTTCTTCTTTTTTGTTGTGTGAGGTTGTTCAGTCGACGGCGGCTTCCGGCCTCTGTTAAGAGTGTGGACGGCTCCCAGGTGGCGCCCAAGTCTCCTTGAGCGCGGTGGAGATCTACAACGACACCGCGTGACATCCAACTCCCGCGGCGCCAGTTCGAGAATTGGACCCATCCGAAAGCATCCCCCCCTCAAAAATGGAATTGGGGGAGGGGGGATTTCGACCCCTGGAGATCTCCATTGGTGGTTCCATTTTCCCTTTTTAAATGGGGAAGACCAGATAAATGGTGGGGACCCCCAAAAGCGTTCGGGGGGTTCTCCGTTGGCTCAAGTCGTGCAAACCCGGTGCCCCCTCACTCCCCAAAACCCAAAAGTATTCGGCAGCTTCGGCTTCTGAAGGTCCAGGAAACTTTGAGGGGCACCCCTCGTGGCACCGCCGGGAAAAATCAAAGGGGGGTGAATAGAAGCATTATTTACCTGAGGAATTTCACAACGTAGCATTCCTTTAAGGGGGGGACAAAAACCCTAGGGGTACAACGTGGGCCGCGTTCTTTGCATTGCGAATGTAGGTCGAGGATAGTGATAGCACGGCGTAATTAGCTCCAAAGAGATCTTGGCTGGCAGAAAAGGGATCAGGTTCAAACAGACACACACACACACACAAACATCCGGTCGCAAAACCAGCAATTTGCCCGCTGAAGTTTCCTCACGAATTGGGATTCCTTTTGTTGAGTGCGTGAGTAGTGATTTGCCCAGATGTCGATTCACCTTCTATAACATGTTCAAGTCCAGGTTGAGCTGGATCGAGTTCGGGGCTGTCACATGGACTTTTTCTGGCCTCATCCGAGCCGTTTAGCTGTGTCCAGGATCCAGCCTGCAGCCTCCATTGATACATTAATTTTGCTCGAAATATTTCTGCTGGTGACAACCTGTCCGAAAATTAATGTACGATTCAACAAAAATCGCTCGAGTTGTCAGCAATCATGCCCCCGTCGGAACCCATTCCCTGTACCACGTTTGGGATTTTCGCTTGTTTGCTCTTTCTTGCACTGTTCTGCTCCGATTTGCGCTCGTTTTGCACTTTGTTGCGCTCGTTTCGTTGATGACTCGTCCAAACTCGCCCCTGTGAAAGAATATGAAACTATCAGAACTCGATTTCTGCTTGAATCCGAACAGAATGCTCGAAAGCAATTGGAGAAAAAACCGCTGCTACAACGTGTCAATTTGTGTACCGAACCAGGGGGGAGGCATCATTTTTTGCTACTCCAGGAGATGTTACCTTCTCACCTACGAGTGCCAATTTTGCTTGGGCCATTCGCTGGCACAAGGCTTCAGGGTTAGAAAACAGGGCGGCTACGAACAAGAGTCACCTGTGGCTTGCCAGCAATGAATGTTCCGGTGTGATTTTGGCTAAGCAAGGCTAACAAGGTCCTTAGTGTTGTGGTTGTAAGGTTTTTCTGCAGAGGAGTCCCAGCCAGAGTATGGGTTTCCTTTCCAGGGTTGGATGTTTGCAACTCCCATCTCCCTGGCCCCAATCAAGCTGCCGCAACGTCCCTTGGCATTGCAAGTGGGGTGCTTAGTCGGAAAAGCCCATCGTTTACACGACGTTTACAATATTAAGACAACCTGAAACCATGATCCCCCATGTAAATACCAACAAACCATGGTTTCAACCATGGTTTTCAAGTGGTGCGAACCGATTTCGTCCATCCACAGTGTGACGCGTTTCCAGTCCCAAGACCTGGGCGCGGAATGGGAATCCGCTAGGTACGACCTGCTGGACGGCGCGTCCACCAGCGCCGGCGAGGCGGCCAACGAAGCAGCCGGCAGGCGCCCCAGTGGTATGCCAAAATACGCATCAAAGGCTGATTGTATAGGTCCACAATGTGAAGCCATGGCCATTTTGGACGATTTTAGGGCTGATTTCCCACAACTCAGAAAGTAGGGATTCGTACCTGGGGTTCCCAAAAGGACTTTGGGAAAGCAAACGGCTTGTAACCATTGAATTTACGAAACCTTTTGCTCAGGGGAAGAGCAACCCAGGATATGGGCATTTGTCAAACCAGGGAGTCACATGTTTGTTTGGGTCTCCTTTTTGGTGTCGTTTTATACCCACTCTGAAAAACACGCAGCCATTTGTTGGAATTGGGGGCCTTCAGACATCCCATGCATCAAACTCAGCGGAAGCGAGTTTTTGCGAGCTCCTACCTGGAAAGAACAAGTTCGCTTTTCACCGGGGGGACCTGAATAGTCAGTTGGATGGCCAGCCACTTGTCCTAGACGAACATGATCCCCGTTCCTCTGGCTGGTAGGTCCCTTTGGGTTCCGAAGTTGACTCAGGTGTGGTTTCCAACAACGGGTGACCCCAAAATGGGTGGCCCTGGTAAGGGGCAACATGGACTAAAACTTGCGGTCCACCTCCTGGTGGCTGAATTTTGATCCATGCCCCATTTGAAGTCGGATAGTTGTCCTTGGGTTGCCTCTCGCGGGCGGTTTTTGGCAATAGCATCCTTCGCCCTTCGCCCGAAAGGTTCTCAAGGGTTTTAGTCCAAGCCTTACCTGCCGAGGGGCTGGGGCTTAAGATTACCCCGAAAAACATCACAGGTCCATACTGAATTCAATGGTATTCACTGCATGTCCAGACCTCCGGCCTTTCTGCCTGGGAGGCCCTTTCCTCACAAACCTGATTTGTTGGGTTGCAACTTGTTTCGTAGCATGGGTTCTACCTGTTGGATTCGCCCAAAACAGTAAAGGGCCCTAACACGGAACTTGACGGAGGCCCCTAGAAGACAGGTGCTCCTCGGGCTTTTGACATTTAATGGTAAGCCAATCCCCTAAATGACGTTTGGCCAACGCAAAGATCTGTCCGATGCATTCGTACTTCCTGCTTGGCCAACCTCAAAATCTTCATCAGTTAGCTCAAAACGAGGATGCGGGTCAATGGTCCCCAAAACACCCCAAAATCGTCTCCCTACTGAGAACCAGATGAACAGGGGCCAGGTTTGTGCTTTGGAAGAATGCTTTACATACTTGTTACCCCCCCAATAAGGGGCACCCCAGCGATTTTAGCGGCTGCTAAGCACTGTTAATAAGGTCTTTATTGGGCTGCGTTTCGCCCAATGGTTTTCTTGGGTTGCTTTTCTTCCAGTTGGAATGCAGAGAACGTACCCGCGGTATATGTCTGCCTAATTTATAGCAAGCTCTTCGATTCGGGGGGGTAACGGGCGAAAGCCATGAGAAAGGTCCTATACTTGGGTATTCAACTGTTGATTCAAACATTTGCGGATAAATAGTTTTGGAACCTTACCTCCAAAACCCATGCCGTGTGTACCCCTTTTATAAGTGATACTGTGGATGGACGAAATTCTGCACCACCTAAGAGGCCCTGGGTGCGAAATGGATGTTGTCCATCCACAGTATATATGAGCGACTAACTTTATTTACCTTAATGGAAACATGCAAGGGGCTGGAACTATTTTTTGGAAACGTGCATATTTAGCCGCAGAACGAGTTGGGGAACACCCCGAAAACGAGATAGGGCAAACAAGCATGATAACATGGAATAGGATGACATTTTGTCAAGTGCAGCCTGGCAGAGCGTCTTGGGTTCAAGGTTGTTAGCTGTAGTGTAGAGTAGACGACCTACGTCGCATGGTCCGTGGCAACTTACCACAGACTGTCCGGGGCAAGTACTGGCCAACCCTACGATGCCTAACTGCAAAAGGGTGTGAAGCAAACTTGCGAAGAAGCAGCGTAGCTGGTTTGTTCAAGATTTGCCCCTGGGCAATTTTCAGCCGTCCAAAAGCGGGCCATGTTAAAACGAGTTCCAAAACGAGTTCAAAACGAGTTCAGAACGAGTCCCCTACAGCGTCCAAGTGAGTATTGGCCCAGTTCCTCCTCTCAAGTATTACTTTTCAACAAATTGTGTAGCAGCAGTTTGCTTAGCGAAAGGTTGCGCGGCAA